GTATTAACGGTGATACTTTCCCTCCTCATATTGCATTCCAATGGGGGAGCATAAGTGTTAAATCTCAGTTAATTAATTAATATTCAATGAATTCTGAATGGCTATATACTGTCATTGACTTTCTACACAGCTTTTACTGATATGAGATCATATGACCATAAAGAATTGAGAAAGAAAAATTATCTCTAACCAATAATCATCGAATCAGCAGTGAGACGATAATTAAAAAATATTCATATATACCTGTGTTACATGCATCTGTTGAATATCTGTATTTAAAACACTAAAAAATAATTCAATAGAAAGAAACCTCCAGTCTAATAATAACAAGGCGTTTTGTGTGTACTGACACATCAATAGATGATTAAATTTCATCACATTCAGCGAAGAAAATTTTTCTTTATTGACGAAATCATCTTCAGAGGCTGTACAGTCGTATTTATGCTTACTCTTTACTTGCAGACTGCTTCTTGGCAAGTTTGGAGAATAGTATGTTACGGCCTACTATCGATAGTTTCCATTTGTACCAAAGATACATGGATGATACTTTCATCATATGTGAAGAAAATACCGGCATCGAATTGATAATTAAAGAGTTCAACACCTGCCATCATCCCCTCAAGTTCACGTCGGAATCAGAGATTAACTCGGAATTCCACTTTTTGGATGTTTTTCTAAAAATAAGATCTGATGGTTCTCTTCAAATATCGATCTACAGGAAACCAACATAGAATGGTCAGTACACAAATTTCCATGGCTTGGTCCCTTTGAGAAGAAAGAGAAATCTGATCCATTTCTTATCCTCAAGAATAAGGAGGATATGCTTCAGTGATACAATCGATGCAGAACTGGGGCGACTCAGACAAGTCTTCATAAAGAATGGATATCCTTCAAGATTTATCGACAAAAACATGAAGTCAAGAGAAAAGCCTGAAAGAATCCAGACGGTGCGGAAGAAACTGCTCTTTATGAGTGTTGAATTTAAAGGTGATACTGCAGCTGAGATCTTGAAGAATCGCTTATGCAGATCACTGAGGAAAACCTTCTTTATGGTTGAGCTACGTATCGATTTCTACAGCCGACAAATGATCAATGGATGTGGGAAGGATAAACTGCCGCTTTGAGCCACCTCAATGTGTGTTTATAAATTCACATGCGCACCTGGAGCTAGTTTTATTGGCCGTACAAGGTGCATGCTTTCCAAACGCATCTCTGAACATTATCTGGCATGGTTAGCAAATGGATAATGCATGACAATCACTAGTTCAATTCTCGAGCATTGCGTGAACTCAGGCCACGTAGCTCCACCAGAGTCGTCTTTCAGGATCATTTACAAGGTGAGGCCAAATGGTACAAAAGGAGTCATTTGTCGGATTTTGTGTATGGCAGAGGCTCTAGCAATTCATCAATACAACCCCGAACTCTGTATACAGAAATGTTAGTCCAGTCTCCTATTATACATTGGTCTTAACCTCTTCACTAGTCGTTCCTGTGAAAAATTTTGATTGTTTCTTTTGTTTTCAATTTTTAATTTTACTTTTAGTTTGCTCTTGCTCTAATAATTAATTCACTATTATCACTCTAATATGTTCCTTTTGTAGATTTTCACATCCTCTTCACACATATTAAACTGATGCTCAACTACCTTTATTCTCACTCAGTAGCAATTTTAACCTTATCAAATTTCTATCTTTGTGCCGCTGAGTACCACGTAATTTACAACTTTTATTTTTACTTCTAAAGACACTTCCAAATAATTATATCAATTATGTCACCCCCCTATTACTCAATAATAGACCGGTATACATTTTTGGTAAGTATAAATATGACTGTACAGCCTCTGAAGATGATTTCGTCGATAAAGAAAATTTTCTTCACTGAATCTGTCTTTTATTTTCTTCATGGGTCAGTGGGCATTTTCGGTGATTCATCACATTCATTTATGGAATTTTTAACATTTTCTAACTGCATTACAATTTTGTTAAAACACATTTTTTTTTAAGTGTTTATTCCTATGCCAATAACAAACATTTTTTTATATTTACACCTTGTCACTGCAGGTTATCAGTTAGCTTCATTAATTCAAGCTGGCTGAAGGTGAATGTGAAACGTATAAATGTAAGCTATCCTATAATACTATTCTAAGAACATATACAAAGCTTACTCCAAAGCTAAGGTGTACATGATCAGTGAAGCTCTATAAATTACACTTCATTCACCGTTTTATTTTATTCCTTTACGTTCGCAGTGTAACATACGACTTCAAGCTTCTTGGGCGTTGAAGTCTTGTTAGCAGTGGTGCCTATTTTTTACGAGATGTCCAACCTTCCATCTTTACCAGTCTTATTATGCAAGTTATTTACTTAACATATCAATGATAGGCTCCTATGATCTACAAAAATCAAACACATCACTTGCTCAATATTTCACTTTTGACAAGTTCATTACTATTTTGTCGCAGATAAATAGGAATGATGTTTTTTCAGAATAAGGAAATATATGAACAACATTCTACTACATATTAGTGTTCCCAAAAGTATTGATTTATATTCCAATGATAAGTTATCCTGCGACTTATCTGTTAATCTGGCATGACGTAATAAGTGTGAGAGAATGACAAGTCAATAAGCTCGTGTAGAATGAATAAGAACCAGTGGAAAGGCGATAAAGTGTCTTTATATAAAATCTGTATGAAAAAGCAATGTTATTAATAAACAGTAATAGAGTGGTAATAAAATGTGGATGATAGGAGTAATAATAATAGTGAACTTACATAGTAAAAAAGAAGGAATCAAAATTATAGTAAGAACTTTACTCTGGCCACGGTAAGGCGAGAGAGTGCAGAGGTCGGGTTTCAGCTCTCGAATAGCTAATGCTTCAGCTTTGTAATGATGTCGTATGCGAAGTCCCTTTGTACGATATCGGGGGACTCCGTGTAGCACTCTGAAGCATTCATGTTATCATTGTTAATGTTATTACTACTATTATTTTATTATCATTATTACTCCTATCATCCACATTTTATTACTACTCTATGACTGTTTATTAATAACATTGCTTTTTCACACAGATCTTATACAAAACTACTGTATAACCTTTCCACTAGTTCCTGTCCACTCTACACTAGCTTACTAATTAGTCATTATCTCACACTTATTACGTCACGCCAACTCCTGCCTCTTTCGTAACTTACAATTAGTTATCCCTTTTTACACCTTATATTATGCAATACAATTTTAAGGACAAAGTTTATTTGTTAATTTATTTACTCTAACTAGTTAGTCCTTTTGTGTACATTTCTTTTCAAATCAGAGGTGAGACTTGCGATATTCCGTTTTTTATGCGCGCAGCACTGTGTCTTCTTTATTTTCAGAACCAAACAACAAGGGGGAAAATGTTTGATGCATGAATATTGTCAATATCGTTCGATACAGTTGACCGTAGAAATCCTATCCATGTTATATGACTATGATGCATTCAGTAACACTTAAAACAACATTTTCACCTTTTAAGATTTGACCTGATTTATTTATTTATTGAATTGTCTACATATACGCATATAATATACATATACTACTTTTGTTAGTCTTATCACCTGCATGAACCTCATTACCACTATTTTGCTATCATTATAATCATCGTTATTAACTTCGTTCGAAACATTTACCACATTATTATTATGATTATTATTACTATTCTTTGATCCACAAAATCATCGCCATTGGTTAAAAATTTTATATAAAAATTTATTTTTTTAAGAGTTGGTCACGGATTGATATCAGTTAGAGAATCATTGAAAACCAGGGAGTAATGGACAGATGCTATTTCATCCTAGTTTGGGAATCATCTACAGTACGCACCCACTGGGATTCGAACCCAGGACCTTCCGGTTACAAGACCAGCGAGCTCGTATACCATTCAGCCACTGGGACCCGATTCAGTGGCTCATGTATTCTAACTTCCACCAATTCGTGATTTAGCGCGACCCCAACCATTGTCGTTGGTGGGACATCCATCCACACACGTGACATCTAACTGGACTTCACTGGTCACGACTTCTCACTAGAACTCAGGAAACTCCAACCTGTAGTAAGTCACTAGCGAGCATCAGATTAATTTTCTATAGTTTGGTTTGTCAAGGTTAGTTATGCTTTTAAGAGTTGGTCACAATGGTTGGGGTCGCGCTAAATCACGAATTGGTGGAAGTTAGAATTCATGGATCATTGAATCGGGTCCCAGTGGTTGAATGGTATACGAGCTCGCTGGTCTTGTAACCGGAAGGTCCTGGGTTCGAATCCCAGTGGGTGCGTACTGTAGATGATTCCCAAACTAGGATGAAATAGCAGCTGTCCAGTACTCCCTGGTTTTCAATGATTCTCTAACTGATATCAATCCGTGACCAACTCTTAAAAACATAGCTAACCCTTACAAACCAAACTATAGAAAATATAAATTTATGTAAATTAGAGTAAAGCCTGAAGGAGATCTAATTGAAAACAATATTGTTCGCTTATATGTCTTGTTCTAATATTATAAATGAGAATATTTAAATATTCCGTTTTAATATGCGCGCACAATTGTGTCTTCTTTATTTTCAGAAACGAGCAACAAGGGAGAAAATGTTTAATGCATCAATATTAACAATAATGTTTGTTACAGTTGACCGTAGAAATCTTATCCGTGTTACATGACTATAATGATATTCAGTGACTAGCATATTAACAATTAAGTAATTCCAATTTTCAATTTTATTCCTCTACGTTCCCAGTGGAGCATAGGGTTTCAAGCTACTTGGGATTTGAAGTTTCGGTAGTAGTGGTATTTATTTTTACGGGATAGGGTTGCTAGCCTCATGTCCAAACTTCCCTCTTTACCAATCTATTACTGGCCTAGAGAGGTAAACGAGTGCGTCAGCCGGGTACCGAACCCCGAAGCACTGGCAGGCATCCTACCACTGCGCCACTGACGCAGCAGATTAACACTTACCGTCCATAATCAATTCATGACAAAAACTAAAACACAACAATAAAAATGAAAAAGAAATATTTTCATATACCTGGATAATTTTACTCTTTTTATTCAATTCTTCTGTAAGTTGATAACAATGTTCTTGAAAGAATTCAAGCTTATCAGTTAGCTTAACTTGAATACGCTGAAGACGATCAATTTTTAACAGAGGAGCATCACGTTCGGAACACTCGAGCTTATTTGTAATTTCATCAGTTATCTGTTCAAGAGAATTATCATTTTGACTGGGAGTGTTATTTGGCGATGATAAGGAATCAAGCCGATCTGTTGTTTTGTGTTCTACAATACATGAAGGACTACAAGTTTTGTCATTCTCAGGCTTATGATTCTAAGCGAAATAAAGAAAAATTGAAGAAGTTAGCGCTTTATATACTAAATATTAAAATATGTGATCACTAACATGCTCCAAAAATGCAGATTTTTCTATTCAGAATAATAGGATCTTCGTGAGCATAACATTCTATAGAAAGCGGTGTTAAAATAATGGAGATATGTAACTCTGGTGGAGAATTTCCGGTGCTATTGTATTCAGTCGAGCTGGAGAATGCGGGTTTGTTCGGCTCATCAACCACTCCCTGTCCTAATTGTTCAATATCCCAGTGTTAGGAATTATGACTTTCAAAAATTCACTTTTTATAGGGTCATCAGTAATGATATAATCTATTTGCCATAGCACTTAAATAAAAGCGATCAATAATTCTTTGTACATTCTTTGAATATACCTCACACTGATGATAATTGGGAAGTTATAGGCAGCTATGTTAATAAAACCTTTTTATTCAAGTGTTGGTTTGGGGAGATTTGATTCGATTGGTTACAGGATTTCATTATAAGCTGACATCGGTTAGAGAACGATTGGGAAACCTGGGAGTAGTGGACAGCTGCCCCGTCCTAGTTTGGGACTCCTCAGTAGTACGCATCCACCTCCAGTGATCGAACCCTGGACTTTCCGGATACAAGGCGATCTCCTAGACCACTGGGACCCGATATACTGACCAGCCCATGAATTCCAACTTCTGCCTATTCACGATATAGCTCGGCAACTAGCCAGTGTTATCGGCGAGTATCTATCTTCACACCTGACTTGCTATACCCCACTGGTCACAACTACTTACTAGAACCCACGTAACTATCTACATGAATAGAGCCAGTCGCTAGTGAACATCAGATTGATATTCAAGTGTTGATTTGCAGGAATTTGATTTGATTGGCTACAGGACCGGAAGGTCCTGGGTTCGAAACCCGGTAGGTGAGTACTGAGGAAGAGCCTCAAACCGGGGCGAAACAGCTATCCAGTACTCCAGTGGTTCTTTAACCGATGTCAACTCATTATGAAATGCTAGAACCTTTTTAGGTAGAAGGTGATAATCTTCAAACAAAAGGATTGGGAAGATGATTACACGCTAAGATTCGAGAAACCGAATCGCCTTAGCAATGTAACTCAGCTGAATTTGCATTTTCACGCAATTTATAAGTAATATACGTTAAACGACAATTATGAGCTTCAAACCATTTGACACTTAATTTACATAAACTTATGTGCATACAGAGTTAGTGTAACTACTCGACATATATGATCGATTTAGGAAACCAAATACATATTACAACTATCCTCACAATTGTTAACAGGTAAAAGTATCAACTTCACAGTGTTTTAGGAATCGAACTTGGGTACTCCGGTAGAGTATGATTCCATAGTATCTACTTCCACAAGAGTAAGTGAACATATAAATGCACATGGGATAAGACAATGGAGGTAGCATTTCCATAGCATTTAGGTGCACCATTGAATGGGGCTAGAGTAGGTTATAAAAGAGAACGGTCGATCATTTGAGAAGGTTTAGTATTGGTTTCACTGCAATGAAAAATTTAACAGAAAAGCAGTGAAGAAAGGAATTTAGATGAACCTATAAAAGACAGAAGTAATCAAGTTACTAGACATCTATCAACAATGACCAAACACCATCAACGGGAGAAGACTAAACAAAGGCTTCTGTTTCATTTAACCCAACATGCAAACATCGTTTCAACTATGCAGCACGGAAGGTAATTTTAATAATGTCAAAACCAGACACAATTGGATCGGGAAATCATGGCAAGGATTCACTGCTCTGAAATAAATGTGGTGATCTATAACTCATCACAAAATAACAGAATCCAAGATTTCTACACTGATATCAATTCAGTGCTTCTATATCATTCATAGTTTCGGCATATAAAATTTCAACTTTCAATATACGGAAAGAAGCAGAGACGGATTTAATATAGGTTGAAGAGACATTCAAGTGACGTCTTATATGGTATCTTTGTGTGACAACTGAACATTACCTATCTTGTTATCATTTTCTCTTCAGAACTTGCTTGGTCGTCTCATATGATGTTAATTTCGAAGATAAACTTTCTTATAACTTATTTATTGTATAGGGAAGTTGAAACTTTCTGACATAATCCAACCTCTTCTCTGACAATTTATTAATTCGTGTATTCTACATATTCTTTATTGTTCCCCCTTATTTTCTACTGGGATTCTCAGAAAGACTATGTTATACAACATGGAACATTGAAGGCTGAAAGTAGGGTTAGCCATATGCCATTGACCGAACTAGCTGACATTAATATTGGTAGGCATTTTAATTCTTGCAAGCAATCGGTAAAATAGATTTGGATGGACACTGAACATCCTCTTAACTCACGAATTGTTTCTGGTATCTTGTCAGGTAAATTTGATAATAATGTATACTCCTACAGCTCCTTCAGCTAAATATAAGAATTCAACGACACCATATTTAGCACAGGTTCTGTGTGAAATCGCAAATGCCGAGAACGATCTTACAAACCTAATACATACCCTGCAAACAAAACGCAACTTATTGCCAACATTATAGCTAAATAGTTATCTTTGTGGTTATTTCTGTTTATCTAATTTCATCATTTTTTCAATCTTATTTATATATATTTGTAAAAGGAGATAAATTTTTACTATACGTAAAACACTGAAAATTCCATTCTGTATAATTGCTGTCTGCAATAATTTGATTAATATTATTTGTCAGGTTTGTCCTTTGGAATCTTTAAGTCCTCCACAATGCAAAGTATACGGATGCATGCCGTTTTCACGAGGTATCCTTTGACTTAGTAGATAACTTTGAATGAATTTTCACTAGGCAATGAGCGCAAAGTGTTGAATATATTTTCAATTATAACACTCCTTATTTATCCACTGTTACCTTTCTGTAGCTAAGCGATCTGATTTTCCTTGACTACTTTAGATAAAACACACACATTGAACCACCGATGTATCCTGTTGCACAGTGGTAAGTACATTGGTAGATTCATTATAATAAAGGTTTTTTGTATTTCCCAATGCATGAATGAAAAACTAAACGATATTGTTGTTTTCACTGACGTTTCGCTATTTAATACTGCTAATAGCTTTACCAAAGTAATTTTAAGCCAGAATTTACAAGATCTCAGCTTATATATACAACAACTTAATCGTCGTTCCTCAGTATGGGGTCATTTTCCCGTTGTTAAATTGGCCAACTGGTAAAGATAACAAAACCAGGTGTAAATTGATGGATATGATTATTATTATTGTTCCCTTGGGTTCCTAGTAGAACATAGGACTTCAGCTGCACGTCTCCACTTGCCACTTCTGTCCTCCTTCTGCTGTACTTTTCACCTGCATCCATGTTAGTCCATACTGTTTCAACTCCTCTTCACACGATCTCCTCCATGTCCCCTTGCACCGATGTCCCACTCGCCTCTCCTGTTTCGGGTTCCACTCGAGCAATGGCCTGACGCGCGATGTCACCAACCGGCCTCCTCAATGAGTGTCCAATCCATCTCCACTTTCTCCTGCATATCTGTTGGTTGGTGATTGGTTCTCTTTTTGTTGGTTTGTTCCCATAGTTTCTTGTTGGTGATTCTTTTCGGCCCGGACATCTGATCTTCAGTATAGATCCAGCGAAAACAGTTGTTGATGAAGGTCTGCAACAGGCTGCTGGAAATATTCTTTGTGACCCGCCCGCCAAGTTTCTGATCCGCATAGAAGAACTGACTGACTTGACGTTTGTATTGGAAATCCGACCGAATTTTGTTGTTGATGCTGAGTGACGAAGATTTCCAGATTGGTTCAGGTTGATTAATGTATTTCTGGCCTTCCAGATGCTCAATTTGACATCCTCGTCCGTTCCGACTGTAGTTGAGACAATGCTCCCTAGATAAGTGAATGAAGTGACCTCTTTCAAATCCCTCCCGTTGATGGTGATTGGCGCTGGAATTTGCTGCTGTTGTTGTTGGTGTTGGTTATTTTCATAACCTTCGTCTTGTCTATGTTCACTTGGAGTCCTGTCTTCTCCGGCTGCTCCTTCAACCAGTTTGTCGGTTTTCGCTTGTAAGTCTTCGATTTTGTGTGACATCAAACATAAATCATTTGCGAAATCCAGGTCTTCTAGACTCTTCACGTCGGTCAAGGATATCCCTGTCTTCCCGTTTCCCACTGTCTGACGCATAATCCAGTCCACCACAATTAGAAATATCATTGGTGATAGTTAATAAGCACCCTTGTCTGACTCCTGTGTTTACTCCAAACGCCTCGCTGAGTTTTCCGTTGTGGATCACTTGACATGTGTCGTTGTCGTACAGCTGTTGAATAAAGTTGATGAATATTTGGGGTACGCCGTAGTACTCGAGTAGTTTCCAAATTACTTCGCGGTCAACGCTGTCGAAGGCCTTCTCAAAGTCTATAAAGTTGAGGTAGAGGTTTGATTGCCATTCCATGCTTTGTTCTGGGATGATGATGCGTAGAGTTGCATTTATTTGGTCAGTACATGATTTGCCTTTCCTGAATCCAGCTTGTTCTGGTCGGAGTTCTGTCTCCAGTGCGTCCTTTAATCTCTCCAGGATGATGCGACTCAGGATTTTACTTGGCGTCGACAGGAGCATGATTCCTCGCCAGTTCTTGCAGAGTGAGGCCTAAGTCAACCTTCTTTGGTAGTTTCACGAGGTAACTTTCCTCCAGTCAGTAGGCACCTTTCCCTCCTTCCAGACCTTTTGCAATAATGGAGTCAGCATGTCTGCTGTTGTCTCTGGGTCTGCTTTCAGTGCTTCAGGGGGTATTCCATCTGGTCCAACTGCTTTTCCAGCTTTCAGAAGCTTGATTGCATTCAAGACTTCAGCTTTCGTTGGAGGATTGGTGTCAACTTGCAGTTGTGTACGTGCTGTTGTTGGTATTTCTGGACGGGTTGCAGGTGTTGGTCGGTTCAAGAGTCCTTTGAAGTGATCCGCCCATTGTTTAATCTGTTTTTCTTCCTTGGTGGTAGGGTT